GCTCCCTCTTGTTCCAAAAAGCATCCCCAGTGCCTAACAAACTTCCCAGGGCACTCTATTTTGTCTGAAAAACAGACGGTTCTGAATGCCGGGCTCCTGAATGAGTGGATGCCCGTGAAGGAAAGGACATATTTCAACCTTCCCTAAACTTTACGATGGATGTGTGGTTTCAGTTTGATCACAGATGCTGAGGGATCCTAAGGCTAGTTAGTGATTTCACAGTCAAGGTGCCAGTCTGTTGGGTGTTACAAGTCAAAATACTTCAGTATTTACAGGGTTAATGATGTTTGTTAAGTCACATGTTTGTTTGTAACCAATCTGTTTAGACAATAGGATGCTCGGGAACTTTGGAGCTAATTTGCTAGTCTGATTGGAAACCAGGGTGTCAAGTATTTAGCATATTGGTTTCTCCTCCCGTTCTTTGTTCTGCCTAGAGAAGGAGACACCATTCGTCTCTTCCCGTTTTACCTTTTAGCTGCAAGGATGTAGACATATTAGCTCTTTGTTATTTTCATATCCTGTGTACCTTTTCCCCATGTTAGGTTTATAGTAAACTTTTATATTTTAAAGCACACCATGGACTCAGTCTCTTAATACTCTGCTGACTTACTCAAAAAGAATCCCAACACAGTCAAACCCAGGAGTTCCTGAGTTGCAGCCCAGCCTCTCAACCACTTACACCACACCAGCTTTGGCTAGACAGTAAGCCCCACAGAGATCAATGGGATTTACTTCTGAGTAAGCCTGCACAGGAAAATGCCAGCCACGTCTGAGCTGATATTTGTGCCTAGTGCGGTACCTGGTCTCCCTTTTGCCTTTGTCCTCCCAGTGCTGAGATCTGATGGGTTGGGATAGAGGTCGCCAGAACCCGCAGGTGAAGCCGAGGCAGAAATTGGATCCTGGAAAGCTCACAGCGATGCCCAAGGTCACTGCAACCCTGCCGGCGGTTTGCAGCTTAGCTAGGGATATTTAAAACCTCCCCGTCTAAGCTGCCAGCGCTGTCGTCAGCAAAAGGGGATCGTGTGCAAAACTGGGCAAGATCCAGAACTGGACGGGTGGCTGTTGTATTGCGGAGGGGATGGTAGCCCAGCCAGTGGAGGGCGCTGTTCCTCAGAGGGCGAAACTGAAAGGCCCTCACGGCTGGGGTTTCCAGCTCCAGGTTGGGAAACATCTGGCGATTTGGAGGGGGTGGAGCCTGAAGAGGGCGGGGTTTTGGGGAGGGGAGGGACTTCAGTGGGGTATATAATGCCATAAGAGTCCACTTTCTAAAGGAGCCATTTTCTCCAGGTGAACTGATCTCTGTCGCCTGGAAATCAGAGGTAATCCCAAGAGATCCCTGGCAGCCCTATGCACTGCATTTCCTAGTGAGGATGTTGATTGATTGGTTTCTGACCGGCTTTCATGGACATTTTTAGCCACTATTAATGGCCCTACTCTTTGGGATTACTCTCTCTCTCTCTCTCTCTCTCTCTCTCTCTCTCTCTCTCTCTCTCTCTCTCTCTCACACACACACACACACACACACACAATCACACAGCAGGGCTATTTTTGGGCAGGAACACACAGGAACGGAGTTCCGGCTGGCTCCCAAGTTGGCCACGCCCAGCAGGAACTTATTAGCATAATAGGCCACACAAAAAGAGCCCTGCACACACAGGTAGAATAAACGTTTAATTTCCGATCAAGACACACCATCCACCCCCAGCATTCCACAGATAAATAATACGAATATTCATACGAGCTGGGAAATCTCCTGTTCCCACAGGGATCACAGTTTAAATCCCCCAGCCCTTCATTACGCTTTATTGGATGTAGTCCTCTGCCGGATGTATCCTGCATTCATTTAGACCAAAAATCAAATTGCAAAAAAATAAAATAAATAAAAAAGCAAGGCGGCTTACTTGGGGAAAAAGTACTTATATATACATTTTAATCTGGTCTTTCCAACAAGCTCAAGGATGAAATACCTTTGTAAATCAGCCACCCTGTGTGGCTATTGGTGAATTCAGGTCACAGTCCTCAGAAGTTCTAGGGGTGCCAGATCGCCCCTGGCCACCAACAGGGGATGGGGGGGCAAGGTTGCAAGTTCCACATTGGGGAACTCCTGGAGATTTGGGGGTGGAGCCTGGGGAGGACAGGGACCTAAGGGATACCTCAGTTCCCTTGGAGAAAATAGCTGCTTTGGTGGGTGGAATCTATTGCATTATACCCCTCCTTCGAGGCCCCTCCTGTCCCCGAGGCTCCACCCTCAAATCTCCAGGAATTTTCCAAGTCAGAGTTGGCAACCCCAGGTTGTGTATGTCCGCCCACTGGGATTGGATTTATACCCTGCCCTTCACTTGGAGTCTCAAAGCGGTTTATAATCTCCTTCCTTTCCCCACAACAGACATCCTGTGAGGTAGGTGGGGCTGAGAGAGTCTTTCAAGGACAGCTCTTGACAGAACAGCTCTGAGAGAACTTATGACTGACACAAGGCCACACCAGCAGCTGCATGCGGAAGAGTGGGGGATCAAACCCGGTTCTCCCAGATTAGAGCCCACGCTCTTTTTAACCACCACACCAAACGGGCCACTACACCTCAGTCAAAGGGATTTCTCCACAGTCTCTCCATAAAGCAAGACAGGAACGTGATATAAAGGGCAGCAGTAGAAAAGAGGGACTGCCCAGGGAAGGAGAGCTAGCTGGCGTGTCAGAGGTCAGGACTGAAGGCTTCCTGGAAACCAACCCCTTGTCAAGTACACGCTCCACTAAAACTTGAGCTTGTGCAGAGACATTTTGGGAGCACAAGGGAGACCCGTATACAAGGCCCTGCCTGCCAAATGCCTGATGCTACAGTAAAGTAAAGGTAAAGGTTCCCTTGCTCGAAAGCCAGTCGAGTCCGACTCTAGGGGTGCGGTGCTCATCTCCGTTTCAAAGCCGAAGAGCCAGCGCTGTCCGAAGACGTTTCCGTGGTCATGTGGCCGGCATGACTAAACACCAAGGCGCATGGAACGCTGTTACCTTCCCACCAAAGTGGTACCTATTTATCTACTTGCAATTTCTTGCTTTCGAACTGCTAGGTTGGCAGGAGCTGGAACTAGAGACGGGAGCTCACTCCGTCATGTGGCACACTCGGGTCTCGAACTGCTGAACTACTGACCTTCCACAGCCTGCAGTTCAGCATCTCAACCACTTGAGCCACCGCAGCTCCTACATGCTACAGAGGAAAGCCAAAATTCCTCCTCCTTCACCCCCTCGTTGCAACAGGTTGCCCACACTGGGGGGAGTCACCCAGTCAGGGAGGTTTTATATCCCTCAAGAGTACCTGATTCCAGCCTAGGAGGAGGATCATCATTGGGCTGATGGGGCAAATTCCTAGCCACTAGGTTGGATCCTCTCACCCCCACACAGGATCCCACCCACACCAGCTTGCCCTTTTCCAGGAGTCAGTCTAAATGGTACGACCTCTGCTCTTCGCCAGAGACAGACCAGGGAATCTGGCCCCACTGGTGGACCTCCTGATGGCACCTGGTTTCTGGCCACTGTGTGACACAGAATGTTGGACTGGATGGGCCGTTGGCCTGATCCAACATGGGCCCGTTCTGCATCTAGCATTTGCTCCGTTGTTTTATCAAAGCCACACTGGAACAGAAAAAGATGCGGCTCAAAACCACATTCAAATACCCCCTGGGCCAACTCAGGCCCATTCTGCATCTAGCATTTGCTCTGATACTCTACCAAACCCACACTGGGGGTCAGGTCACACGGACATTTAGTGCGGGCTTCGCTGCTGATCCCTCGTGCATTAAAGTTTCCTGTTCATATTGGCAAACCCGCCTCCCGCACTGAAGCGGGCTGAGTCCCGCGGTTTCCGCTCTTTTTATCCGCATTTTCTGACACTCGTTGGAACAGGTGTTTTCCGATATCTCGCGCTTTGTATCTGCGGTTTTGGTATCTGGACAGTAATCCGCCGTGACCGCGCTACCTCCCCCCCCTTTTTTGTGTTTCCGGTTTAAGTTATGCGCATGTGCAAACAGGCACTTGCTTTTATTTTGGACTTTTTTAGTTTGTATGTATGCCCAAACGCATGGGAAGACAAGCGCATGCACAGGGTTTAAAAAAAAAAAAAAAAAACCCACGCCGCCGCGGGGACAGCACGTTGTGTGATCAGTACTTCGCGCGAGTGAAGCAGAAGACAGAGGGACCGTCTGACCACCTCCAAGCGATATAAAATGACGCGGATAGAAGAACTGTGGGAAAACTAGCGTGGTAAGAGGTCCGTGTGACCGCGGCCTGGAACAGAAATCCCCCTCTGCATTGCATGCCACTTTCACTTTGATTGATTGTCGGATTTTATGGGAGTGTCCACACTGCATGCCGCTTTCACTTCCTTTGATCTCTCAGTTTTATGGTACTGTCCTCATAGATTTATGGCCATTTTATGGCCGTTCTGGGGTGACTCTGCAGTCAGTACAGCATTGGCCCCTTGAGCCGCATCTTTTCCTGTTCCAGTGTGGGTTTGGTATAACAACGGAGCAAATGCTAGATGCAGAAGGGGCCACCGTACTGACTGCAGAATCACCCCTGAATGGCCATAAAACGGCCATAAATCTATGCAGACAGTTACCATAAAACCGAGATCAAAGGAAGTGAAAGCAGCATGCAGTGTGGGGGCTACCATAAAATCCAACAATCAATCAAAGTGAACCTGACGTGCAATGCAGAGGGGAATTTCTGTTCCAACGTGGGTTTGGTAAAACGACGGAGCAAATGCTAGATGCAGAATGGGCCATGGCTTCTCTTATGTTCTTACTCCATCCTCTCCTAGAGGCAGAGCTAAATCACTCTGCCATGCCACCAGTGTGAGAGCCAGTGTGGCGTAGTGGTTAAGAGTGTCAGACTGGTATTTGGGAGACCCAGGTTCAAATCCCCACTCGTGCCACAGAAGCTCGCTGGGTGACCTTGGGCCAGTCACCCACTCTCAGCCTAACCTACCTGACTGGGTTGTTGTGCGGATAAAATGGAGGAGAGGAGAATGGTGTAAGCTGCCTTGCGTCTCCATTGGGAAGAAAGGCGGGGTATAAATTTAAAAAAAAAAATTAAAATGCCCCGTAATATCCTTCTCCCAGTGCCCTGACCACTTTGAACCCTGTGGCCTCAGACACTAGGTTCACTGTTTAGGAGAAAGCCATTGTGTGCTGCAAATGTGCCCTCTCCAATGACACTTTTGACAGATTTCTGTGACATTTCTGAGGAAAATTGGGTAGCTTGGGGTGAAAACAAATTCAGTTTCTCTTACCGGGGCTGTGTCTCTCAGGAGGCATGGAACGAAGGTGGCCAGCCTCCTGGTGAGGCCTGGAGATCTCAGATTACAACTGACCTCCAGACCATAGAGATGAGGTCCCCTGGAAGGAATGTCATCTTCAGAAGGTGGACTCAATGGCTTTATTCCCGGCTGAGCTCCCACCCCTCCCCAAACCCCACCCTCTCCAAGGATCCACCCCCAAATCCCCAGCAACTTCCCCAACCCAGAACTGGAACAGAGGACAGGAAGAGGAGAACTTGGCCCTTTGTTACTGTTCTTCACCAGCGTACTTTTTGCCTTGGGAGTTGCCGCCTTTGTTCTTGGCTCGGACATGCAAGAAGTTCAGTAAGTGAACGTTTCCCTGGTGGAAAAGGCAAACCTTCTGCCTGCCTGGCTACTGTTAAAGGTACAGGATCAGAATCAGTAAAAGAATCGTCTGGAAACCAAGATGCCTCCCCCAGCTCTGTCAATCAGTGTGCAGGAGTAGCATTCTTGGGCCATGGTCATAGGGTTGCCAACTCTGGGTTGGGAAATTCCTGGAGATTTCAGGGGTGCAACCTGGGGAGGGACCTCAGTGGGGTAAAATGCCATTGAGTCCACCTTCCAAAGCAGCCGTTTTCTCCAGGGGAACTGATCCCTGTAACCTGGGGACCATTTGGAATTCCAGGAGATCTGCAGCCACCACCTGGAGGCTGGCAATGGGGATGCAGAAGGTGGACTAGGGGCAGGAGTGGGGGGGACGGGTAGAGAAATTTGTGTCTCTCCTTCCATAGGAACTCTTGTTGGGTATTGCAAGTTGAAAACACTCAGTATATCTGGGGTTAAATGTTTGTTTACGTTACTCACAGGAAGTCACATGTTTTCTCATGTAACCAATGTTCTTTAGGTGTAGGAAGCCCGGGAATTTTCTCCCTGATCTAGGGATTTGATTGGGACTAAAGTGTCAAGGTGTATTACCATTATATGGCTTCTCTTCCTGTCTTTGTTTTGGTGTTTTGAAGAAGGAGAGCAGCCATTCTCTCTTCTAGTTTTGTCTTTGTAGTGTGAGGATGTAGCCGATTTATGCTCTTTTGTTATTTTCATCCCAGTTACCCTTCCCATGCTCCCAGGTCAGTAGTTCAGCAGTTCGAGACCCGGGTGCCACATGACGGAGTGAGCTCCCGTCTCTGGTTCCAGCTCCTGCCAACCTAGCAGTTCGAAAGCAAGAAATTGCAAGTAGATAAATAGGGACCACTTCGGTGGGAAGGTAACAGAGTTCCGTGCGCCTTGGTGTTTAGTCATGCTGGCCACATGACCACGGAAACGTCTTCGGACAGTGCTGGCTCTTTGGCTTTGAAACCGAGATGAGCACCGCAACCCTAGAGTCGGATTCAACTGGCTTTCAAGCAAGGGAACCTTTACCTTTACTTTTTACCCTTCCCATGCTAGAATTTAGTAAAAACTTTATATTTTAATCACACACGGACTCTCAGTCTGAATTATTGTACTCTGGCACTGCTGGACTATCTTATCTCTGCTAAATACCATTTTTTTCAATATCCCACTATCACCCAACAACTCTGACCATGGGTGGGTTGATGGCCCCCCTCGGTGGCCATATACTTGTAGCAGCTGGTTGGATTTGGGACGCCAGGCCCATTTTGAGCAGATGGGGAGTTCTGGAGGGCGGCCACCTGTTGGCTTCAGTTCGTGCTTGGAGATCAACACCATTCCCATCTCCCATGTTTCAGGAAGGAGGTCGCACTCGCGAACTGGAAGAAGACCACAACCAAGATGCCGAAGAGGCCGGAGCACCTTTTGGGTGGGGGAGGGCTGAAGAGTCTGAGACTCTGCAGTTTGGAAAAGAGGGACTAGGCTTAGGGTTGCTGACTCTGCAATTCCTGGAGATTTCGGGGGTGCAGCCCGGAGACGGTGGGGTTTGGGAAGGTGAGGGACCTCAGCGGGGTGTAATGCCATAGCATCCGCTCTCTGAGGCAAACATGTTCTCCAGGGGAACGGATTTCTGTAGTCTGGTGATCGGTTGGAATCCCAGGAGATCCCCAGGCCCCACCTGCAAAATGGGGGGGGGGGACATGATAGACGTTTATCGAATTCTGCATGGGGTGGAGAAAGTGAAAAGAAGGAGCGTTTTCTCCTTCTCCCGTAATACCAGAGCTGGGGGGGGGGGCACCCAATGAAGTTGACAAACAAGAGGTTCAGGACAGACAGAAGGGAACACTTCAGTCCCCGACAAGTCATTCAACTGTGCACCTCGCTGCTAGAGAACGTCGTGATGGCCACGAGTGGAGGTCAGCCAGATTCATGGAGGAGAGGTCCATCAATGGCTACTAGCCATTGTGAGCAAAGGTGTTGGGTATTACAAGTTGAAAACACTCAGTATATCTGGGGTTAAATGTTTGTTTATGTTGCTCACAGGAAGTCACATGTTTCTCATGTAACCAATGTTCTTTAGATGTAGGAAGCCCGGGAATTTTCTCCCTGATCTAGGGATTCGACTGGGACTAAAGTGTCAAGGTGTATTACCATTTTATGGCTTCTCTTCCCGTCTGTCTGGTGTTCTGGAAGAAGAAGAGCAACCATAATCTCTCTCTTCTAGTTTTGTCTTTGTAGTGTAACGATGTAGCCGATTATGCTCTGTTGTTATTTTCATCCCAGTTACCCTTCCAATGCTAGAATTTAGTAAAAACTTTATATTTTAATCACACATGGACTCTCAGTCTGAATTATTTTACTCCGGCTCTGCTGGACTATTTTATCTCTGCTAAATACCATTTTTTCAATATCTCACTATCACCCAACAAAAGGGAACCTGCATATACAGAGGCCGTCAACCTCTGAATCCCCGTGCTCGGAGGCATTGTGGAGGCCTGGGGCTTGGCCTCTGTGCCCTGTTTGTTGGCCCTCCAGGGGCACTGGAGCCAGTTTGGTGCAGTGGCTAAGTGTGCGAACTCTAATCTGGGAGAACCGGGTTTGATTCCCCACTCCTCCACTTGCACCTGCTGGATGAGCTTGGGCAAGCTGTAGTTCTGTCAGAGCTGTTCTCTCAAGGACAGTTCTCGAGAGAGCTCGCTCAGCCCCACCTACCTCACAGGGCGTCTGTTGTGGGGAGGGGAAGGGAAAGGAGTTTGGAAGCTGCTCTGAGACTCCTTTCGGTAGTGAAGGGCGGGGTATAAATCCAATGTCCTCCTCTCCTCCACTGGTTGACAACTGTGTGGTACAGGATGCTGGACTAGATAGCGCACTGGGCTCTTCTTATGCTCTTAACATTAACAGACTAAACTTTTGAGACCTCTTGTGCAAGAGAGCAAGGCCACTGTTGCAGGAGAGGTGGAAACTTTTAAGGGCTCAGAAGATTCATGGAAGAAAGGGAGGAGAATCAGACTTGGAGAGAAGAAGGCCCTGTCACTTCGGTTGCTAAGCGAGAGGAGGTTTTTGGGCCAAGTGCCGAGTCTGAGCTAAGAGCCCATCTGCACTGGCTCCGATCGGAACAGCTTCTGCGTGGGCTGCCGCCGCCTCCCTACCAGGCTGACGAGATACTCTGTAAGAGCAGGAAGGGGGCGATGACGGATGAAGACTTGGGGGTGCTCCAAGACCCCTAGAATCTAAGGTTGCCAACTGGCCAGGAAAAAGAAGGCCTGTCTCTTGAGAAGAGGGCTGAGATGCAGAATACACGGGCAATTGAAACTTTTCCGTGGCATGGGAGCTGAAGTGACAGCACCCCAAGCTTGCTGCAGATCAATTTGATATTAAAGGGACAGCTAGAGGGAGCAAATTAAAAATTGGCTAAGAGAATCTCTGGCAGGAGGGTGCCTTCCGCACAGCTTATCACAGCCTCTGGGCACGCTGGCCTGGTTGGTGGATCTACCGGGAGTTGTCAGGCTGGTGCAGACCATTAAAATGATGAGATTCCAATTAAAGCAGTGGGGGGGGGGGCGGCGTGGAGAGATGTGCCCTCTGACCATTAGGTGATGCTGCCTGATTTGGCTTCCATTGACTCTGGACCTAGGACTCTGTCCCAGGTTTCCAGACTGCCCTGTTTTTTCTGTGCTTCCGCTCTCTGCTTTATGGGTGCTCTGATTATGGCTAGAGACAGATCTGAATAACCTTTCATATTTTCAGGGGGAGAGCAGACATTGATTATCTGTCCCAGTGTGGTTTGGGACACTATATGATCTTTTGTGTGGGGTTCCAACTAAAATAACCAGTCTCCAGACAGCTTCCTGAATCATCTTGGAAGCTGTAAAATGTTGTACACGGAAATTCTTTCTGCCCTCAAAAAGCAACATCTCTCCCTCCCTTTCTCTCTCTCCCCTTTCCCAGCAATTGAACAGCAAACCTAAAAAATACTAATATCGACCAGTTTGGTGTAGTGGTTAAGTGAGTAGACTTTAATCTGGGAGAACCGGGTTTGATTCCCCACTCCTCCACTTTCAGCTGCTGGATGACCTTGGGCAAGCCGTAGTTCTGGCACCGCTGTTCTTGAAAAAGAGCAGTTTCTGTCAGAGCTGTTCTCTCAGCCCCGCCTACCTCACAGGGTGTGTTGTGGGGAGGGGAAGGGAAGGGAAAGGAGTTTGTAAGCTGCTCTGAGACACCTTTGGGTAGTGAAGGGCGGGGTATATATCCAATCTCTTCTTCTTCTATCATCTACTGAGAGCCAGTTTGGTGTAGTGGTTAAGTGTGCGGACTCTAATCTGGGAGAGCTGGGTTTGATTCCCCACTCCTCCATTTGCACCTGCTGGATGACTTTGGGCAAGCTGTGGTTCTGATAAGAGCTGTTCTTGAAAAAGAGCAGTTTCTGTCAGAGGCTCTCTCAGCCCCAACTACCTCTCAGGGTGTCTGTTGTGGGGAGGGGAAGGGAAAGGAGTTTGTAAGCTGCTCTGAGACACCTTTGGGTAGTGAAGGGCGGGGTATATATCCAATCTCTTCTTCTATCATCTACTGAGAGCCAGTTTGGTATAGTGGTTAAGTGTGCGGACTCTAATCTAAGAGAGCTGGGTTTGATTCCCCACTCCTCCATTTGCACCTGCTGGATGACCTTGGGCAAGCCGTGGTTCTGATAAGAGCTGTTCTTGAAAAAGAGCAGTTTCTGTCAGAGGCTCTCTCAGCCCCAACTACCTCTCAGGGTGTCTGTTGTGGGGAGGGGAAGGAAAAGGAGTTTGTAAGTTGCTCTGAGACACCTTTGGGGTAGTAAAGGGCAGGGTATAAATCCAATCACTTCTTCTCTTCTCTCTACCATGTATGTGTGTGTGTTTGTGTGTGTGTCTCTGTGTGAAGTACCATCAAGTCTCTTCTCATTTATGGCGACCCTATGAATGAATGAATGAATTAATTAATGAATGAATTAATGAATGACCCCCAAAACGTCCTATTGTTAACAGCCTTGCTCAGGTCTTGCCAACGGAGGGCTGTGGCTTTCTTGACTGTCAATCCATCTTGTGTTGGGTCTTTCTCTGTTCCTGCTGCTTTCAATATTTCCTAGCCTTATTGCCTTGTCCAGTGACTGCTGTCTTTTCATGATGTGACCAAAGTACAATAGCCTCAATTTAGTCAGTTTAGCTTCTAGGGAGAGCTCAGCCTTGATTTGATCTAGAACCCACGGATTTGTCTTTTGGGTGGTCCGTGATATCTGTAAAACTCTCCTCCAACGCCACATTTCAAAGGAATCAACTTTCATCCTAGCGGCTTTTTTCATTTTCCAACTAAAAAAAAATATCTTATATGGCAGGAGATCCCAAAGGACTCATTGGCTGCCTGAAGCTGTAGTTCTCTTTTGGCACCACTAGGTGGTGAGCTATGCTTCTTTTTAGGCTGAGAGTGCTGTGACTGGCCCAAGGTAGCCCAGTTGGCTTCAAGTGGGGAAGTAGGGAATTGAACCTGCCTGGTTCTCCAGATTAGAGTCCACCACTCTTAACCACTATACCAAGTTGGCTCTACATTTTCCAATTTTCACACCTATACATACTAACGGGGAATACTATGGTATGAATTATCTTAATCTTGGTTTACCTTAAAGGCGTTTGTTATAAGAATCACAAAATAGTGTATATGAAGCCCTCTGAACATTCCAAAGGGTCGTGTTATTCGTGTCAATAATATTAATAATAATTAATGTTGTATTGTATTAGGTGGGTTACAAGGCTTTATGGGATGGCTGGGGGGTAGTATGGAGGGATTGGCCAGCAGCAGTATAAAACTGAAATGCAAAGCATGCTTTCTTGGAAGGAAATCCCATTGAGCTCAGTGGGACAACTTTTTGAGTAAACATGTAGATTGAGCTGTATAGATTGTGCGATGTAAGCAAAACCGTGCTGATTACAAGCCACATCATTTCTTGGCGCAGAGGTTGTGGGTCCCTTTGGTACACCATTTGGATATTTATCATGCAGAATGAGGCTGCAGCCCTGAACTAATTCGAAGCCTTTTGATGGACTAAAAACACCCCTGATTAGCTTGGGCAGCACTCTAAAAATAGTTAGTTGTTGTAAGTACTTATAAAAACGGCAGGAGGCCAGCAGCCACTTGGAGAATGGAATGCCCCTTCTAAGATGGTGCCTGCTGTGGTGCGAGTTGCCAAAGAACAAAGGAACTTAGTGTTTTTCTTCTAAACTATTGTTGTATCAAGATGCACATTTGATAAATTAATTGACTAAAAAGGTACACTCCATCAACTCCAGCTTTTCCAGTGAGGTCTAGGGCAGAGCATGGTTCCCAGGCAAGCTATTTGTGTTCCTGGATGGCCACTTTGAGAAGCGATTGATGGATGCTCAGTCTCATACAGAGGGCCTCAGCTCCCATTTGCTGATCCAGGGGCCTGCTGCCAAAGTTGGTTACCACTGAAGCCACTTTGCCTTCTCTTGATCTACCTCTAATTTGACCACTGGATGGCCTGTTGCCATATCTCAGATTTGCCACAGGGGTTACCAGCCGCTGATAACTTAGACTGTCTATTTTATGGGCTTCTACCCTTGCTCGTCTACTACCGTGTATGATCTCTTCCACACAGGATCCTTGAGCGAAAACAGCCAGGTGGGGAGATCATCGAGCTGACCGCAGAGGGACGGCCAGTAGAGGTGTCCGAGAAGCACCAGCCGGTGGTTGACTGCACATGCTTTGGCCTCCCCCGCCGCTACATCATCGCCATCCTCTGCGGCTTGGGCTTTTGCATCAGCTTTGGCATCCGCTGCAACCTGGGCGTGGCCATCGTCAGCATGGTCAACAATAATACCGTCTATCATGGGAACAAAGTCGTTATGCAGGTAAGGACAAGTCCTGTGTCCTTCAATGCAATGCTAGCTTTGACCCATTTGGTGATGGAAAGTTCCATCAAGTCAGAGCTGACTTATGGTGACCCTGTAGGGTTTTCATGGTGAGAGAGAAACAGAGGTGGTTTGCCATTGACTGCCCCTGCATAGCAACCCTAGATTTCCTTGGTGGTCTCCCATCTTGTAATGATTCCATGTTTTGGTGCGTGTGTTCCTTTAAATGTTTAGTTTGACTGCAGTAATATGAGAAGAGTGATAGAGGGTGACAACTGTGATTTGATTGGCTGCTAACTGAGAGTGTGGGAGGAGGGGTGTCTGACAGGATTCTGTGTGTGTGTCTATGAGGAGATTCTGTGATGAGAGAGACAAGTATGGAAGAGTTTTGAAGAGAGTCTATGTGACTCTGAGAGTTATGAAGGATTCTGTGTGTGAAGTCTGAAGAGTGAACATAGTCTGTGGGATTATAGGATTTGGAGTCTATTTCCGAATGAATAAGACCAACAGTTTAGTCTGTGTGACTAAGAGAGTTGATCTTATTCTGCGTGAATAAAACAAAGAGACTAGCCTGTGTGGCGATATGTATCTATATAGATGAGAGTTAGAGAGAGATTATACTGAATGTATAAGCCTGTCAGAGTGGAGTTTGGAGTTTGAGAGACTGTTTATGGCACCAAGCTTTGCCAGTTGCATTTACAAGTTCCTTTCTTCAGCAGCTGTTCAAAATAACCAGAAACCTATTTTGTTCTTTATTAAATAAATCAATTTTTGTTTAAACTTATCCCAGAAATCTTCCTCAGGGCCACATAGTCCTCTGAAGTGCCCAGACCCAGGGTCAGACTACCAAAAGAGAGATAATTGGAATTTTAATTCCTGGTGGCAGAAGAAGACTACCAAGTTTATACACAGAGAGAGTGTTTAAAGGTAAAACCCAGGGCTATTTTTGGGCAGGAACCACAGGAACGGAGTTCCGGCTGGCTCCCAAGTTGACCACGCCCAGCAGGAAATCATTAGCATAATAGGCCACATCCAACAGCAGAAACTCATTAGGATTACATTAGGGCTACATTAGGGGTGTGGCCTAACATGCAAAGGAGTTCCTGCTACAAAAAAAGCCTTAGGTATTGACAACAAACAAGGTAAACAGAATAAGAAGCAAAAGGTGGGTGTGGCTGGATGACTATACTTCTGGTAACATGGGGGTGTGCCCTAATATGCTAATGAGCTATGCTCTCATGGGTGTGGCTGGATATGCTAATGAGTTTCTGTTGTTGGGTGTGGCCTATTATGCTAATGAGTTCCTGCTGGGCTTTTTCTACAAAAAAAGCCCTGGTAAAACCATTTCCCCTATAAGCAAGGACGCCACACATCCAAATGCTAGCCAGGGCTGACCCTGCTTAGCTTCTGAGATCTGATGAAATCGGGCTAGCCTGGGCCATACAGGTCAGAGCTTGACTCATTTAGGGTGCTGCTTATGGACAGAGCTCCCAAAGACTGTGGTGGAATACAGCAGGCGTAACTCAAAAAAAAAATGGAACATATCTTTTATGATCTGATTATATTTTATGTATTTATTTAAAATATGTATATGCTTGCTTTCTCCCACTGGCAATGGGACCCAAGGCAGGTTACAAAACCAATACCATTTAAAAATCACAAAAATACAACAATTGAAACAGCCAGTAAAACCTAATAAATAACCTCCATTCATTGATCCCTGCCGCAAAAGACCCAACAGACTGTATAGGCATCACGGGTCCTCAAAGCTCAGTTTGGCAGCCCTTACAAAATTTCGATGGAGACGAGAGCTTCCTTAATTCCTTGGGGAGATTTACAGTGCTGTCCTAAACATAGTTACACCTTTCTAAGTCCACTGAAATCAAATCAGTGGGCTTAGAAGGCTGTAACTCTGTTTATGATTGCACTGTTATAACCCGCCTTTGGAAGAGGAAGGAGGAGGAGGAGGAGATTGGATTTATACCCGGCCCTACCTGAAGGAGTCTCCGAGGGGCTTACAATCTCCTTTCCCTTCCCCTCCCCACAACAGACACCCTGTGAGGTAGGTGGGGCTGAGAGAGCTCTTTTGAGAACTGCTCGTGAGAGAACAGCTCTGAAAGAACTTATGACTGACCCAAGGTCACACCAGCAGCTGCATGTGGAGGCGTGGGGAATCAAACCTGGTTCTCCCAGATCAGAGTGTGGGGTCACTCTTCTTGGGGTGCAGGGGTGCACGCGATGCAAAGACGACAGGACACAAACGGCTGCTGGAAACTCTGTGTCTCGCCAGGCTTGAGCAGAGATATGTATGGAAAATAATTCCCCCGTCCCCCTCCTTTATTCCTCTCTTCGTCAGGGAATTTTACAGGAATACGTTCATGGCATGGAATGTGTTGATCTCAACCTTACAGCTCCTTATCTCTTGTCACCCTGCCAAGGTAGCTTCTCACGATGAACGCAGCGGATGTTTTCTGCCTAGAGCAATTAGCTTAATACTTAGGTTCCCAACCTTTCCAGGAGAACAGCCAGGAGACCAGTGCCCTCGTGCGGGTTTGCTACGTAGTCAGCACTGCCCTCCAACATCAGAGTCTGTGCTCTTAACCACTACACCAAGCCACTACACTCAAAATGATCTCTGAGAAAGGCTCCAACAGATTAAGAATGTAAAGAAAAAATTACAGAACCCCCCCCCCACAATTGAAACCAGGAGCGGAATAAATGGGACACAATTCTAATCTTTCAAAAAGCAATCGAAAGTCTCTCTTGCTATCAACCCTCGAGCAGCCATTAACGATTAGGAGCCCATCTCTCCTTATATATAATTGAATAGTGGGTGCCAAAGTTCTAATTCTAAAATGCACTCCCTTAGTGTATGGCTGATGGCACTGCTCCTCAGCATATATCGCCACCAATCAGAAGGCAAAGCCCGGGTCCCGCCCACACCACAACTGCTGCGACAACCTGGTCTTTTGCATATGGAAGCTGATTGGACTTCAGTCCATTCCACACCTCAAACTCCCCCCCCCCCCGCAAGGCAGTTGGAATTTTCAGTTGCATAACATACCTCATAGGGGAGAGGAGAATGGGTAACAATGGTTACCACTCTCCAGGTGAGGGCTACAGATAACTCAAACATACAAATGCTCTTCAGGTAGCAGAGATCAGTCCCTCTGGAGAAAACAGTGGACTCTGTCATTAAACCCTGCTGAGGTCGCCACAGGAAACTGACACTGTTTGCCCAAAGCCAGAGCACTCTCCCAGAGCCTCTTTCTAGATCCCGTTGTATTTATTTCCGCAACGGGCATTATTTCTAGTTGTTAATAACTAGAGAAGCCAGCCTTTTCCAGGCACTGTTGATCTTAATGTCTTTAGATCTTCTTGGCTCCAAGCAAAAGTTATTTACTGACTGGTCTTTAAAGCTTTTAAGGAAGAGCTCCTCATAGGCTGCACAAATCCGAGCGTTAAGATCACCAACCAGCGTAAGCGGAACTGATGGATACATATCTCCAATTTTCTGTATACAGGTGTTCAGTCTGCCCCAGTGGTACGTCAGTGCTGATTTATATGCGGTTGGAGGAATATATGTGCTAATCAGTATAAAAGAGAAGTTACGAAACTGCAGGAGTAAAACAATCACATAAGGCGGTTCGCTCGATAGCACTGTAACATTGACCAGTAGACCAGTAGAGATCAAGCAAGCAATTCCTGCAGAGGGGCGACTTAGTTTATTTCTTTCAAAAGCCTCAAGAGAATAAGTGGTGAAGCCAGAAAGATAGACTTTACTAAGCTGCCAAGTTTCCTGAAGCAAGACTATGTCATAGTCAGGGCTTTTTTTGTGGAAAAAGCCCAGCAGGAACTCATTAGCATAATAGGCCACACCCAACAGCAGAAACTCATTAGCATATTAGGCCACACCCCTGACAGCACAGCTCATTGGCATTATAGGCCACACCCCCATGTTACCAGAAGTGTGCTCATCCAGCCACACCCACCTTTTGCTTCTTATTCCGTTTACCTTGTTTGTTGTCAAAACCCAGGGCCTTTTTTGTAGCAGGAACTCCTTTGCATGTTAGGCCACACACCCCTAATGTAGCCAATCCTAATGAGTTCCTGCTGTTGAGTGTGGCCTATTATGATAATGAGTCCCTGCTGGGTGTGGCCAACTTGGAAGCCAGCTGGAACTCCGTTCCTGCGCGTTCCTGCCCAAAAATAGCCCTGGTCATAGTTAGGTAGGAACTTCTTGGTTTCTTGGGATCCTACTCTGTTTCCACATCCTCCCATATTCCATGAGAGAGGAATTTCAGTTTCCACATGCTGACACTGAGTCAGGCATTCCTCTTCTCAAATGGGGTGGCATCGGGATCAAACTCATTAACTTTGGATGAAGGTTGAAGGATCGTGGCCTGTTCCATGAAGTAGTGTTGCTAAAATGGGTTCAAGTGACCATTCCCTTTCGGTATTGATGGTATTAGAGCAGGGGTGTCAAACACAAGGCCCGGGGGCCAGAACTGGCCCATCCAGGGCTCTTATGTGACCCACAAGCCACTAGTGCAAGGGGGGGGGAGTGGGCCACTCCAATTGTGGCTTCAGCATGGCAGAACAGCCTCATCTGCAGCAGTCAAGCAGCGTGGGAGTGTCTGCCTAGTGCTGCACCGCTGGCTTTCCAGTCTGCCCGTGTGGGTTTTCCTTTGTAGCCCCCTCCCAGCCCATGGGGACTTGCGGTGAGGATACAACTCGAAGCTTACCAGCTGCTGTCCTTTATACAGTTTCTATCTCTGGTACCTGGCATTATGTTTTCTGGCACACACGGCCTGGTCCGACAACGTGACATTTATGTCAGATCCAGCCCTCGTAACAAATGAGTTCAACACCTCTGTTTTAGAGGGCAAATCTATTTCAAGGTGTTTTGTCGAGACTCATTCTCAGCAGGGGGCAGGTCCTTTATATGAGTAAGCTCGGCATCTTTAATCACATAACGACTTTTGCAGTAGCAACCTTTAAATTCTTCCTTGTTTTCCAGCGGAAGAAGGTTTATTGTGGGACGAGGGTTTGCTGTTTGTGACTCCGGTTGCAAAAACAGTACAGACAACAAATAAAATAGAAAGCCATCGAGATGGGTTTTACTGGTGGGACAGCTTCACGGGAAAGGGCCTGTCCCAGGCAGGGATTCCTAAAGGGCAGGCAAAAATTCCCGTGGAGTCTGAGTACACAGTCCCATTTCTATGGAAGGAGGAGGTCTTTCAGATACCCTAATCTCAGACCATTTAGTGACACAGAGATACAGTAGACGGAAGAAAGCTTCACCTGTTGCATTTATGCTGGTTAACGTTACTGACCTTTTGTCCATGAAAGTTGTGGCAGACCAAGTGTCTCGGGCATAAAGTTGCCAACAGCCTGGAGGAAACAGAGGTTTAATGGGCTGTTATTCTCCAAATGATGTTGCTTACCTCCATGCCATGAAAACCTGCGCATGAAACCTTCTTTAAAGGGACAGGACATCCCCCCCCCCCTTCCAGGTAGCTGCCAGCCCTCCAAGTCAGGCATGGCTGGTTCAAAACAGCTTGTGCAGATAATGGAATGCTGAGCTTTCCCGGAAGCACTTGGGGGCCTGACCGTTGACCTGGAAACTCTCCTCTCTTACTCCAAATGTACTGTGGAAGGCTATGAACTTTGCATATCCTTAGATACTCTCTGCTTGATTATTACTTCACACATTCCAGAGTAATTGACACAGGACCGGGATTCTCAAATTAAGTCCTAGTTTCTCCCCTGGGGATGTTGGCTCTGCTCGCTGCCCTTCTCTACCGATATTGTTCCTCCTTTCCCTTCCTTTCAGAAAGCTGAGTTCAGCTGGGATCCAGAGACAGTGGGCATGATTCATGGGTCCTTCTTCTGGGGTTACATTGTCACCCAGATCCCCGGCGGATTCATAGCACAGAAATTTGCAGCTAACAGGTAAGAACTAAGTGGGGGTGTTGTAATTTATGGCTCACCTACAGGTGGAAGCTGCGGTGGCTCAAGTGATTAAGACGCTGAACTGCAGGCTGTGGAAGGTCAGTAGTTCAGCAGTTTGAGACCCGAGTGTGCCGCGTGACGGAGTGAGCTCCCGTCTCTAGTTCCAGCTCCTGCCAACCTAGCAGTTCAAAAGCAAGAGATTGCAAGTAGATAAATAGGTACTACTTCCGTGGGACGGTAATATTCCGTGCGCCTCGGTGTTTAGTCATGCCGGCCACATGACCATGGAAACGTCTTCAGACAGCGCTGGCTCTTTGGCTTTGAAACAGAGATGAGTACCGCAACCCTAGAGTCGGATTCGACTGGCTTTCAAGCAAGGGAACCTTTACCTTTTTACAGATTAGGTAAATAATCTCCCCAAGCTGGGGGCACACTTGCAGATTTCTTTCTGTGAACATAAAACAATTCCAGAAATCTGTGTACTGCTCTACCAAGGAGCCTTTTTACCCCAGCCCAGTGTATTGCATTGCTATAATAGAGAACATTTACCTCACCAGAGACAGACATGTTTTTGAGGTAGAATGACTCGACAAATACCAAATATGTCAGTTATTAATAATGATACTTGTTACCTTTTACAGTTGATGTTGGTTGTATAATATTTTGGGTCCGCAGTTTGGGTATCATGGACCGTTAATTTTTTCCCACCACAAATAATGGATTTCGTGGGTGACAGTTGGAATTGGTTGGGAGTCATGAACACAATTGATGTACTTTTTTCCCACAGAGTGGACAGAGTGGTTTCAACAGCAAGGCGTAGCTGGTGACTATATTTAAATGTAGGCCCATGAAAAGCTTTGCAGACCAATTTCGGCACACGGTTAAAAGCAGAAGAACAGGCTAAGCTGAGGTTTCAGGGAGAGGAAGGAACCTCAGCGAGATATGATTCCATACAGCCCACCCTCCAAAACAGCCATTTTCTCCAGGGGAACTGATCCCTGGAGTCTGGAGGTCAGTTGTAATTCCAGGAGATCTTGAGGCCCCACCTGGAGGTTGGTAACCCTAGTACTTCTAGATATCAGTTGTGGCAGGCCTGGCCGTCATACCCTGCTTGTAGACTTTCCCAAGGCATCTGATTAGCCATTTAAGTATGTATTTATATATTTATAAATTAACTATGCTGGCTTCTGTTTCTAGGCCTGTCTGTACACAAGGGAGATGTGAACCAAGACCTTCCTGTTTCACAGCTTGGTCACTTACACAACATGAGTTCCCATTTGCCAAACAAGATGGATGCTTCTCAATGAGGAGAGACGGGGCTAATGAGTACTAGTCTTGTAGTTCCTATTAACACCCGCTTTCCGGCTCACAGGGTCTTTGGCTTTGCTATCGTGGCAACGTCCACCCTGAATATGCTCATCCCATCAGCTGCCCGAGTCCACTACGGCTGTGTCATCTTTGTGAGGATCCTGCAAGGCCTTGTGGAGGTAAGCCCTGGGTCGTGATCCCTGGACACCCCACCATATCTAGCAGTTAACCCCTGTCCCTCTTCCTTTGGCACGGTACCCCCACTCTCCGGCCACATAACCCTCTCCTAGGGAAGGTGGGTCAGAGTTATGGGTCAGAGGTTTACGGCCCTGCATCTTCTTCTCCGGATGAAATGTTGCTCTGGTCTTTATGTAATACCCTGTGCCCTCCTCCCTCCAGGGGGTCACATACCCAGCATGCCATGGTATCTGGAGCAAATGGGCGCCCCCATTGGAACGTAGCCGCCTGGCAACAACGGCCTTCTGCGGTAAGGTAACCCTTCGTCAGGGAAGGAAACTGTGTCAGATGGAGGAGTCTGAGGGATAAACCTCATCAAGCTCTGTCCCGTGTCTTGAACTTGATACAAGTTGACTTAACATATAAGGAATAGAAGAACTTGCGCTTGATACAAGTTGATTTAACTCTTAAGGGAATCGCAGGACATATAAGAGAATATAAGAACATAAGAAGGGTCAGGCCAGTAGTTCATCTAGTCCAGCATTCTGTTTCACACAGCGGCCAAACAGTTGTCCCTGAGGACTCCTGGCACACCGGATCTTATTTATTGATTTGCTGAAATGTTCATCTTCAACACTCTCCACTCTGAAGGCTCAGAGGTCATTTCGGGGGGGGGGTTCGCGGGGGATCGCAGTTCCCCCGGGTGAGGTGCACACGACGAAGCCCCGCCCCCTGCTTCCAGCCCTCATTCGGCCAGGAGGAGGCAGAAGAAAAGGGAGGGTAAGTTGCTTCCTCCCCGCCTCTCCCCACCCCTGCCCGTTTGGGGCCAGGGAGGGCCTTGGCGGGGCTTCCTCGCATTCCCGTCGGCCTTGCAGGTCCACCGCCGGGCCCCTGATGTCAGGGGGTGTGGCATATGCTAATGAGTTCCCCTAGCTCTTTTTCTACGAAACGACCCCTGTGAAGGCTCATGACAAGACTGCTTCCAAATAACAATTAACAGTATTATAATATAAGTAGAGGGCCATCCTGTCCACTAGGTGGCCCTAGGCAATTGCCTAGGGAGTCAGTGATGGAGGGTGGCAACCAGCCCTGCCACGGGGCGGGCTGTTTGGGTGCCCTAACTTTGGGCTGGCCGCAATATCCTGAAGAAAGAGACCAGCTCTAAGGTAATACAATCAAGAATGGAGCTAGATCTCTTTTAAAGGCAGGTTGTAGCGATTAAACGTGAATGGGAACCTAGTTCAATTAATGGGAAGGGGAAGAGGAGGAAAAGAACGAACACAAGGCCTGAAAAAAATGAGAAAAGTTTAACATGGCACCTGAGGTTCTTGGGACTAAGCACTAGGTGAGTAGCTGAGGGAAGGAAGGTCCAAAGTCAGGGTGCTCCTGTAGAGAAGGCCCTGCCTTTGGTAGCAATCCTCTTTACCTCAAATGACGGAGACACAAAGTGCAGGACCTTTGACAAGGACCTTAACTGCTATGCAGGTTCATATGGAAGGCTTAGCAGTGACTTCAGTAGACTTAGAAAGGAGAAACTCTGTTTAGGATTGCACTGTAAATGGTCCTTATCCTGGCTGGCAATCAAGCTGCCACGTTTTCCCCCAATTGAATCTTCTGTTCTTGTCCAACGGAGTCCAGAACTCTACTTTAGAGTCACATCTTGACCTTTTTTTTTTTTTTTAGTAAGTGAGTTGAACAGAGATTGGGTAACTCACAGTCTGGACCTATCATGACCAGTTGAGCCAAGTGAGTCTCAAATTTAAGTGGAATCCACCTCTAAACTTATTGTATTTCTGGGGACTCATTTGCAAAGTAACAGGACATCACTTTCCCCCTGCCCTTTTGAAGAATGCAGGGATCGCGCATCAGTGAACAAGTATATATTTTATTTTCCAGATTTATATTATATCTAATAGTCAAGTGTGGCCTAATCTGTGGATACTCAAATCTACGGATCAGGGCACAGTGACATAAATAGACAGGCAAACTTGGGGGACTCCCTAAGTGTGCAGAAAAACCTGAAACCCTACAAATATTACAGGGGGGGGCTTAAATTTGCTCAAAATAGAGACAACAAACTTACCTGTGTCCTGGAGAAGCGGCCAGGGTAGAGTCTGGGAGCCACTCCCAGCACAGCTGCAGTGGAGTCCAGGAGCCACTCCGGCGCAGTGTCCTGGAAGAACTCTGGGCCAGGCCATGATGGCAGGTCTGTCCAAGAACCACTCTGGGGCGGAGGCAGCTGCAAAAGCCTGGAGCCAAGCTGGGCTTGGCAATGGTGGACGGGGGGTTGGGGGTTGGAAGGGAGGTGCACCTGGGCTCAGTGGGCACGGAGTGGGAGGATAGGATCCCCCCTGTGAGTCTTGCGGGACCCCGCTTGTAAATACTTAATATGAATAGTAAGGCTTGGATCCCATCAATGAGGTCTGGGAAGCCCAATGGCAAATTTGGGTTGGCCTCTGCATAGTATGTGAAATGGCCATGAAATACCTTTTCATGCTCAATAATGCTTAGGGACATATTCCATGCATGCTGCACACTCCTTCTTCTTCCCCTAGCAGTTCCATTTGTGCAAGATTGAAGGTTTTCAGTGAGTGAGCACAGAACAGGAAGCATATTCCATGACAGAGGCCATCTAGCACACATGGAACCTATCCACAGTATCCAAACCCAGAGCATTATCAAGCATTGCAGTTGTACTCCATGGCCATTTCACACATTATGTAGAGGCTAACCCTAATTTGCCATTGACCTTCCCAGAACCTCCTCTCTCACCTCCTCATCCCCTGCCTCATGAGTCCCATCCATGCTAGAATCACACAACCCATTTTGGGTCCCAGTCCACAGTTTGAGAATGACTGCCCAAATCCGCTGAGAAAGTCAACTTAGAGCAAAGGATGCTGGGGTCTTCTGCTTTTATACTTGGCTAACCTTTTTGATGTATCTTTGCAGGGTCCTATGCGGGGGCTGTGGTGGCCATGCCCCTGGCTGGGATTCTAGTCCAGTATACTGGGTGGAGCTCTGTGTTTTATGTTTACGGTAAGAAAACTGGAGACCAGTCAACCTAACTTTGATGACAGGTCTCTCCCCTGTCCAAGCCTTGTTGGATTGTAACAAAGATTCCTCCCCGCCCTCAATGCATCCTTCGTTCTGTTCCTTGGCAGGCAGTTTTGGTATCTTCTGGTACATATTTTGGCTGCTGGTTTCCTACGAAAGTCCTGCACAGCACCCGACCATCTCAGAAGAAGAGAGGAAATACATCGAAGAAACCATTGGTGAAGGCTGCAGTCTTATGAATCCACTTGTGGTAAGAGACTTGGAGCAACAGAGAAGCTCACTCCAGAGGACTTTGGACTGCTTCTCTGGCCCACTGCTAGAGGGGAGTCCTGCAAACACGGGGGGGGGGGGGGGCCCGTGGAAATATTCACAGCTGCTTTCTTGCTCCCTTCTGGCAGAAATTCAAAGCCCCATGGCGCAAGTTTTTCACGTCCATGCCTGTCTATGCCATCATAGTGGCCAATTTTTGCCGGAGCTGGACCTTCTATTTGCTCTTAATCAGCCAACCAGCCTATTTTGAAGAAGTTTTTGGATTTGAAATCAGTAAGGTAAGAAATGGTGTTTCTATCTGTGTTTGGCTAAGACTCTGGGGGAATCTTTCCTACCATTCAGTAGCAGAGACTGCCTTATTTGGTACTGCTATATTGGTTGGAAAGAAGAGTGTCTCTAGGCATGCACGAAGTTGCCTCCTGCATCACTTGAGTCAGGGTTGATGGAAATCTTAGCCCAAAGAATTCAGGCTCCCCAAATCTGAAAACTTAAAAAAAAAACCAAACTGTCAAGTGGATAGCAGAAATCAAAAGACTGGATCCGAAGACTCTTTCTGTGAAAGGGGGCCTCAAACCCAAAATTTCCAATACAGAACTTTTTGTGTGTGCCTGTGTGTGTGTGCGCGTGCATGCGCATGCGCCTGGAAGTTATGGTTGACTCCCGGTGACCCCTAGTGGGACTTGGACATTTCAGAGAGGTGGCTTGATCGCCTGCCTCTGTATCCCAGTCCTGGTATTCCTTGGAGGTCTCCCTTCCAAGTACTTGCCGGGGTCAGCCCTGCTTAGCTTCCGAGATCTGACGAGATCGAGCTTGCCTGGGCTATCCAGGTCAGGGTAATTTCCGATACTGAACTCTGAAAGAGTAAAAATGAAGAACATTGTAATTGTGAAGAACCAAATCCAAACATTCCAAAACTAAACTAAACAAGATCACTGAAAACCACAGTGCTGAATGCAAATGGTTCTATTCCGCTAAGGATAGAGCCTTCCTTGGGTACAAAGAGGCCATGTCCAAAGGAAGATGGGCATTCCAGCAGTCAGGCTGCTTGCCCTGGAGAAAGATTCCACCCTTAGTGGGACAGAATCTTTGGATCCAACCCAAGATCCTCTGGGAAACAGGTTTCTGACTCAGAAATAATTTTGACATCTTGTAAAGGACAAATTGCAATGAGGAGATAGAACTTCGGTCTCTTCCTTAAATGTTCCCCTTCTCAAAATTAGCTAGACTGCTTTTTATTTAACGCCCCCCCCCCCCAATATTTGGGTCTCCTCAGTGCCTATTTACATTCTTTTTCTTCTGCGCAGGTTGGTATGCTTTCAGCCTTACCTCACCTGGTCATGACAATCATCGTACCTATTGGGGGCCAAATTGCTGACTTTCTGCGATCACGGAGGATCATGTCTACCACAAATGTCCGCAAGATGATGAACTGCGGGGGTGAGAAAGAAAGAAAGTTGGGGGACATAATAAGAGCTATGATGCAGGGATGAAGGCTGGAATTCAATGACATCATAACTGGGATGAGAGTCTAAAGCCTGGTCTGGTAGTAAACAGTTCTCAAAATCTGTATAGACATTTGGACTGTGCATTCATTTCAAAACAACTGACAAAACAAACCAAAAAATCCTAATTCGTTAGGGAAATGAAAATGGGAATGAACTGATTTCATCCAGTGATTCGTTTCCTGGTGCCTCACAACCTGCTCAGAGTTCAAGGAGGTCAGAGAGAGGCAGGATGGGAACAGAGTTAAGAGACAGTGGGAGATATGGAACTGACATTGAAGGTCTCCGACCAATATAGTCAAACACATGTTGCAACAGAAAAGGTTCAAGAGGAAGCCAGAGGAGAGAGCAGGAGATATGAAACTGACCTCAGAGATTTTCTCATTGAAACCAATGGTTATGAAAGTTATGAGAATAATAACAAGTACTATGAAAATGGAGGGAAAGTAGCACATCCCAAATAGAAAAGAGGACTATAGTACAAAATGTCAAGGTTGGCTTTGGAGCGGAATTTCCAATAGCCTGGGTGCGAAAACCTTCATCTGTCAGAGATCCATTTCCTATGCCCATGGATTGTGATAGCTCCTTTCCTTCGGGGATGTCTCCTCCGACATCTTCCCAGGAAATCTCAAGATCTTCCTAATCCCTCCAGAAAAGATTTCAGCATCACCCATACAAACTTCTTTTATGTGTACTCTAAGAACATAAAAAGAGTCCTGATGGATCAGACCGATAGTTTGGTTAGTCCAGTATCCTGTTTCTCACAGTGACCAACTAGATGTCCCAGAAGGTCCACAGCAAGGGCATAAGAATCCAAGCTTCCCCCTGTTTCTGTCTTCCCTCCTCCCAACAATAGACCAGAAGTATCATATTTTTATTCCACTGTTCCTCTGAGGAGCCTTGGTCAGTGTGCGTGGTTCTTCCCTCCTCCACTTTATCCTCACACCAACCTTATAAGGTGGGTGAGGCTGAGAGCTCCTGGCTCCAGGTCATCCAATCAGCTGAGGATCCTTGTGTCCTGCCTGGACCTGACCGAGGTGCTGGTGGTCAGATGTGCAAGATCAATGCTTGGAACTCTGCTCAGAGAGAGCCTGAGTCTTATGGGGGCTTGTGGAGTATAGGGAGAGGGGCGAAGCTTTTCCCCACACCACTTTCCTGACCTGAAATGTCCCCAGGGAGCCCCCATTTGCCCTGGTGAGGAAACTTCATGTGTACAGATGACTACAAGTGTACTATAAGCAGGGCTTTTTTTGTACAAAAAGCCCAGCAGGAACTCATTAGCATAATAGGCCACACCCAACAGCTGGAACTCATTAGCATATTATGCCACACCCTGACACCACAGCTCATTAGCATATTAGGCCGCAGACCCGTGTTGCCAGAAGTGTGGTCATCCAGCCATACCCACCTTTTGCTTCTTATTCTGTTTACCTTGTTTGTGGTCAAAACCAGGGCTTTTTTTGTAGCAGGAACTCCTTTGCATGTTAGGCCACACACCCCTAATGTAGCCAATCCTAATGCGTTTCTGCTGTTGGGTGTGGCCTATTATGCTAATGAGTTCCTGCTGGGCGTGGCCAACTCGGGAGCCAGCCGGAACTCCGTTCCTGTGCGTTCCTGCCCAAAAATAGCCCTGACTATAGGTAAGCTTCCCCAGTGGAGCAAATGGTGACTCCCAGTTTGGGAAAATGGCACAGGGATGAAGACTTACGCCTCTCTCTCCTTCCATGTTCCTGACCTGGATTGGGCCCTCACGTGCCTGGGAAACAGCATACAACTGAATCTCAGAACCTGGGCAGACCGGGACAGAATGGAAGAAAAACATAGCTGGTAGTTAGGCCCAGAGAGGAGATTTGAATCCAGGCTTTCTGAGTCCTAGTTCAACAGACCTGTTACACCCCAGTGGAAATACGGCCTCGATGGACCTACGCTACCCTGCTCTAGTCCTCCTGTGGCATGAATGTGGTTAGAAGCATGAAAATGGTGGTTGTGGCAAAACAGGTTGGCGCCTGCATTTCTGAGACCTCTTTCTCCATTGCTGCTTTACCAGGGTTTGGCATGGAAGCCACGCTGCTCTTAGTGGTTGGTTATTCCCATAGCAAAGGTGTCGCGATCTCGTTCCTCGTCATGGCTGTCGGCTTCAGTGGCTTTGCTATTTCGGGTGAGTTCTCAAGCCACTAGGTTGATGTTCAGGCATGGTAGCACTACAGACAAAAATTCCCTCTTTCCTCCCCAAAGCAGACCCCAGGGCTCTAGCAAGCTCATAGACAGCCCTTCCTCACCAGATGGAGCCTTAAAGAAATTAATGATTTCCTCACGAGTAATAGTCTTCTGTAGCTGCCAAGCTCCAGGTGTCTCTATGCACTTTAGTGTCTGTGGCTTCTCAGCATGAAACAGGTTTAAGATGAGTAAGATCAATTACTTTTACAACGGGAACCTTTTGCCTACTTTATCATTAACAATACTACTTTAAATAAATAATAGACTTCCTTGAGTTATCACTGATTCCCACTATTCTCTTTGTCATGCTTGTGACCATAATAGCTAAAACAAGAGCTTTTCAGGGGAATTGAACATAAAGGTACAGTATTCTTTGCAAAAACTTAACTAAGCTGAGAACCGCAGTTCTAGGTGAATGTTTCCTCTGCCCCCCACTTTCACCATCCAGACCTGAGCTGCCTGACCCAAAATGCAACATGAAAGCAAATTTAATGACTTGCCCAGTATCCTGGAGTTTTACTCACCTAGGGCAGCTGTGCCCAAACCGACAGGAATCATGTGTGGAAAGAATTTAGTGGGCTAGATGACACACCTGGACTGCTAGAAAACAACTGGGGAGAATGCACAATTCCAATAAGGGTAGTATAAAGGTCAGAATAGCTGAGATGCTGGTAGACTAATCCTGGGCTCTTCCCATTGATCTTTAAAGGACCACGGCAGCTGCACAGGGGTTCAGTCTGGATTAGGATTACAGCATGGAAAGAAAAAGGGTTAAACTTTTCCATTCTTGCACAGTTTCATTCATCATTCACCCACACCCAGTACAGTTATCAGCCCTTTAAGAAAAAGCCCCGTTATTTTCCTATCCTTTTTTTCTTCCACTGTTTCAGCACTTGAAAAGATGCGTCGGGGGTGGTGTGGTGGTGGAGGGACATCACCTTATCCTGCTGTGCCATGGGCCTGATCAGGATTGGCCCTTGCAGCATTTTTAAGTGGCTGAATTCTTCTCTAAAATGGTGTTGGCATCCAAGGGTCAGACCCACGAGTGCCATAGTATCTAATTTGGCCTTTGTTTTCATTTCTGTCCAATGTCCCACCTGGAGCATTGTGCAAATGAAAATAGTAATTTTCATGGCTCTTTTTGTAGAAAAAGCCCATGTCATTGTGCAAATGAAAACAGTAATTTTAGTTGTTGTGAGAGCCAGTGTTGTCTGAAAGGCAGGATGGAAATATAAGAAACAAACCAAGCAGATCTCTCTCTCTCTCTCTCTCTTTTTATTGGGCCTCCCTTCTAGGGTTTAATGTCAACCACTTAGACATTGCCCCCCGATATGCCAGCATTCTCATGGGGATCTCCAATGGCGTGGGGACCTTGTCAGGGATGGTGTGCCCGCTCATCGTTGGAGCTATGACAAAACACAAGGTAGGAACCAGAGGTCCGGAAAGTGAGGAATGCTTGTACTTGTGGCTTGGGGGACAGAGCATTTGCTTTGCATGCAGAAGGTCCCAAGTTCAACCCCCGACACCTCCGGTTTAAAGGATTGGGCAGTGTGTGATCCGAGAGACCCTTTACCTTCTAGCCTAGAGAGCTGTGGCCAGTCAAGAGTAGAAACACTGACCTTGACAGACTCAGTATAAGGCTGCTTCGTGCGTCCCTGAGCATATTTTGTCTCCATAATTCCTGTTTCGTTGTTTTTGTTGTTGAGGGCAGGTATAGATTAGTACATTAAAATGACTCAGGTGCCAGCTGAACAAGTGACTTTTGTGCTGTGCTGGCAATTCCACAGGGATGCTTAGCTCAGACCCAGCCAGCAGTGACAATGGCCCTTTCTGCCCTCTCCTTTTAATCCATGGTTACTGTGGTGTCCCTCCAAGCAAATCTGCACTAAAATCAAATTCATCCTGAACCATGGTGCCCCCCCCCCCATTCTTCACTAAAATCGAGTTCAGCCTTCTTTTTATTCTGGGTTTTTGCCCCATTCCGCATTACGTTACCTCCCTTCAGTGGTCAGCCCAGTTTCAGCCTGCTGTTGCCCCAGGTTATTTGGATGCTATTTTACTATGGACTTAAATTGCCTTGACTCGAACACTGAGAAAATCCAGAGTGGCAGGCAAATGCAGAAAGGACCAATGAGCGGCACAGGCTCACCCATCAGCAGATATATGCTTAGGTTTAGGGGGGGTTTGGTCCAGGCTTATGCCAGCACCCTTAAAAAATTGTCTTGGGTGCTCCTGTGTGTGTTTATCACTTTGTTGTTTGACCATGCGTGTGCCACTTCCTAATAAAGGGCTCGCAACAGCCAGTATTTGAATTGCGGAAACTTTATGGATTATTAATCAATCAGTCGATGTAATGTTAAAAGCTGTATAGTTTCAGATGTGTCAGTAGGTGTGTCTCTGTTGCAAAGGTCTTGTGTGGACTCTCATCGGACAAGAGTAACTGAAAACTCAAGAAAGTGATAATTTTCAAGTAGTTTCAGTTATGCAAATGGATTTTTTTTATACTGGCTCTTTGTTGATCTGATCTCTTGCTCTGCATTTTGCGTTTGGCTCTTTAACTGGAAAAACCTGCAGACCCCTGACCAATGTTCCCTCTAAGCTGTGGAGTCTTGTGAGCAAAAATTCTACTTTGTGAGCTGCTGGCATTAAAGTTGTGAGCGAGCAATTTGGCTGCTGCATAAATTAGTTTGCTCTGGAGCCATCATTCCTGAGCTGAGATAAAAATGTGTGAGCCAGAGGCTAAAAAACTGTGAGCTAGCTCTCTCTAACTCAGCTTAGAGGGAACACTGCCCCTGACTACTGCTTGCTTCCTTCCATCGCACAAAGTATCAGTTTCCTTCAGCCCTCTGCATCCTGTTCTTTAATCACTTACTGCTCCATAAGAGGATGCGCCCTCTCTGATGGTCATGACTAAATTTACTGGAGCCTTTGGTGAAGGACTGCCAAAACCTTTTTGGAAGTACAGTTCATATAGTATCTGGCAGATTCCCCCTTGTTGACACTCTCAAAGAATCTAAAAGGTTGGTAAGGCAGGACTTCCTGTTGCAGAAGCCATGCTGATTCTTTCTCAGCAAGGCTTATTCTTACGTTCTGTCATTAACAAATGCTTTCTTCCAGTTTACCACGGACAGAAGCTGATATTTCAAGAGTTTCCCAGATCCTTTAAAAATATGTTAAAATGGCTGTCTTCCAATATTCTGGTGAATGAATTTTAATAAGTTACTTTTTAAAAAGTTCAGCAGTTTCACATTCAGGATTGGATAGTAGGTGGCATTCTGCTGTGCCAGTAGATATGTCCCTGACTGATAAAAGCCAGTATGGTGTGGTGGCCAGAGTCTTTAACAGGAAAGCAGGAATTCAACCACGAAGCTCACTGAGGGTGAAACCAGACAGGATGGAGATTACAGATCTCACATCAGTCTGTAAAATGTAAATTGTACATGTGTGCAGCTGTGATTTGGACCAAGGACACATCAGAAAGGAAGAAGCAATTTAACCCTTCAAGATCCACTCAGGTTTATTAATATAATCTACCCTTTACAGACTGATAGAATACTTTTTTTCAGGGGTCATTTTGTAGAGAAAGAGGTGCAGGAGCTCATTAGCACAACTTATTTGCATATGCCACACCCTCTGACATCACCGGAAGTGTGTCAGAAGGCAACACCCATCGCTCAGGCTCCATTGGACTGTTTTGGATTGCTAGCTATTGGGGGGGGACGTGCAGATCTGTCCTCGCAGAGGAGGGAGAGCTTGTACCTGAATAAAACTTGGTCTTAAAGGTGCCACTGGACTGTTTTGGACTGGGGGGCTGGGGGGGGGGCTCTGCAGCTTACCTGGCTGCTTCTTGCTCTGACTGAGGGCTGCTGGGAGCAGGGGGTGGGGCTTGTTGCATGTGCCCCCCCCCTGGGCTCTTTACTGCCGGAGCTCCACTCCTGTGCGCTCCTGGAGGAAATGACCCCTGCTTTTTTTCCCTCCCTGCTGTGATTCTGTGGCTGAGGTTTCTAATTTATTGTTCAGAATGTTCCATTTACCAAGAGTGCCACTGCCAGCGCAACCTCCTGTCCTTGTTTGCTCTTGCAATCTGCTTGGTACCTATTGCTGGGCATTCTGACCTCCCTTAGTAATCACATTCCACCATGACTTCATCCCTCTTACAGTAGGGTGTATTTAATAATTGCACATGCAATCTAATAGTAAACTGGCTGGCCCTTGTGAGAATGAGGAAAGCAACACAAAAGGACCACCTGCAGATGATGCAGGGGTCTCGCCTTACTCAGTGAGCTTCCCAGGTATGCAGAAAAAAATATAACTTTGTAAATTTAGCAAAAGGGGGAGGGGGAATCACCCAGTGAGGACAAAATACGCATCAGGATCATGAAATGTTGAGAAGGGAAGTTGTTGAAATAGTGGAATTAAGGGAGAATTGGCGGGGGCGGGAATCAGCCTGCTGAAACTTCTGGAATCCCAGAAGGGGAGATTTTTTTTGGGGGGGGGTGTACAGAAGATTTCCTGATTGTTCTCCCTTCCCACAATTCCCCATGTGGCTCCCAGCTTGGCACTCTGCCTCACAGTAAACTGGCTGGCCCCTGTGTGGATGAGGAAAGCCACATAATGGGGACACCCACAGACAAGGTAGGGGTCTTCACCTACATGGGGACTCCCCAGGTATGCAGGAAAATATGACTGTCAATTAACCAAAATGGGGGTGGGGGGGATGCTTTCAAATGGCCTGACAAAGTCTGAAAATGCTCCTGAAGGGACAGCATGTTGAGAGCAGATGGGAGTCAGCTAGAAGTAAAAAAGGAAAGAGAAGCCAACCCGCTCAGAGCCCTGAAAGCTAAGAGAGGGGGGGGGGATAGGGTTTCCAAATTGTGTACCTCTTCCTGTGATTCCTTCCCAGCTTGCGTGTGTATTTGCCACTGAAAATCTGTCATGTGGTTTGACAAATCGGGCTCTGACCCCTCGCCCCAAAACTGTTAGTCTTTAAGGTGTCACAATACTGTTTCTGGCCCATTAAGTATATTTTAGGAACACAAGTGCTATTGATCACCGTTCTCCCAGGTTTCGGATAGACATACCTGTAGTCCAGACAATGTGACAGGGCAACCATTCCCATATTCCCATATAAAGCAGAGGCGGGGGGGGGGGTTTGTTTTTTACCTGAGGAGAAAGGTCTGGCTGGGGGGAGCTCAACTTCCCCCACTCACTTTGCTCGGGCTGCCTCCCATTTCTCCTCTGTTTCAACCACTTTTTCCTCCAGCCCAGCTCTGATACTCTGAATGAGCCAGGCTGGGCAGGAAAGAGCATGAGGTAACAGAGCACCATGAGGTAAGATGAAGCGGGGAGGGGAACGGGATGTTTCCACTCCCCCTCAGTCAGAGGTAAATGCTGCTTTTCGTGTGAAAACTGACCGCCACATACACACATTTCATATATGAAGACGGTAGTCTCTGGGTAAATACAAGCAGCTAGTTTGCCCTTAATTTTGTCCCTGAGTCTTTAAGTATTCATATACTGGCTTGTGTGGCAACCTTTGCTTCCGTTTTCTGTTGCGGGGGCAGCCTTCTGCTTGCAGAGAATGTTCCTCTGGTGCCAGGAGCAACTGCTCATGCAAGGTTGGTGTCTTTCAGTGAGCTGAAAAGTGTCTAGAGCTGGAGGAATGCGCTCAGAAGAGGAGGACTATCCCCACCACAGACTAAGAGAGGTGCAAGCAGAAACAAGGTGTAGGATCTCAGCCACTCTTAGCACACCAGTTTGGTGCAGTGATTAACAGCAGCAGACTCTAATCTGGAGAACCGGGTTCGATTCCCCACTCCTCCACTTAAAGCCAGCTGGGTGACCTTGGGTCAGTCACAGTCCTCTCAGCCCACAAAATAAACCTAGCTCGCCACAAAAAGAGCTAGAGTTTCAGGCTTCCAGACAATCTTCGGATCTCCTGGCTTATACTGCACCTACTGCCATACGATAATTAATTAGCACACAAAGGGCTGGGTCCTAGGATTGCCAGGTCCTCTCTCTGATCCCGGGGGGGCTCCTGGCTCCTTGTTGGGATATTCTGCTGTGCGCACTTCAGAGGGGGTGTGTGATCCTCTAGTTTTTTTGGCAAAACTCTATGGTTTTTTGCCCTCAAAACCATAGTTTGGCCCAAAACTAGAGTGTCACCCCCTAACATCGGCAACACGATGACGTCACTTCCAGGTGACATTGCACCTGGGATACCGACGAGGAAGGGGGCTGTTCGGGGGTGAGGCTTCCCCCACTGGCCAGCTGGCCAGTGGCGGAGTGGAGCCTCTGAAATCAGGGAAAACCTTGCCCCCACCAGGGATGGCAACTCTATTGGAGCCAGACTAAACTGGAAATTTCTGACAATCCCTTCTTCCTGCAGGAAAACCCCCATGTAATTCCTCATGAATCCCTATCCCCCAGAGGAAGCATTTTGTGGAGATCAGTGGGCTGCAGTGGGATGGGGGAGGCAGGAAAACTCCATCCTGCCATTGGAAAATAGAGTCTGGATCCAGCCCAAATATTGTCCCCTTCTTGATGCTTTTGGCTATTGGATCGGTGGCTCATTGTCTTTCTCTGCTGATTATCAGCTCAGATTCTGTCCTGGGCACAGAACTTTCTGCTTATCTCTCCTAAGGGTTTTTCCCGAACTAGAGTCTTGCTGCTACTTTAATCCTAAACAGGGTCACTGATGCAAGCTCCACAGTTCATAACAAAACATTTCCTAGTTTTAGAGCCTTTCTGTAGACCCTGACACCCCTTGCCACAGTCCTGAACTGAATCAGAGCCCGGCCTAAAAAAAAAAAAAAAGTCTGGGATCTCATTTAAACCAGTGCTCCCTCTAAGCTGTGGAGTCTTATGAGCAAAACTTCTACTTTGTGAGCTACTGGCATTAAAGTTGTGAGCGAGCAATTTGGCTACAGCATAAGTTAGTTTGCTCTGGAGCGGTGTCCCCTCTAAGCTGAGTTAGTGTGAGCTAGCTCACAGTTTATTAGCCTCTGGCTCACACATTTTTGTCTTCGCTCAGGAAGGAGGGCTCAAGAGCAAACTAATTTATGCAGTAGCCAAATCGCTCGCTCATAAGTTTAATGCCAGCAGCTGACAAAGTAGAATTTTTGCTCAGAAGACTCCACAGCTTAGAGGGAACATTGCTCTGGAGCCATCCTTCCTGAGCTAAGACGAAAATTGTGTGAGCTGGAGGATAAAACTCTGTGAGCTAGCTCACACTAACTCAGCTTATAGGGAACACTGCGCTAGTGCCTCTTCTAGTTCCTTTCTTATTTAGGATCACCGTTTCAGGTTTTGTTTGGGTTGTACGAGGATTCTTGAGAGGACCTCCACTGGAAAAGATTTCCTTCCCTAGAGAGGCAATGTAAACCGAACGTGTGGTCTTCAGACAGTGAAGACCAGAGATGCTGAGCCCCATTTCTGCATTCCTATTCTAATTGTGAGAACAAGCGATCACAGCGTAGGCCTGGTTTTAGGGGCAGGAATCATGAGCTGAGCAGGTGTGCACTGGGCGGAGATGTTTTCACATGTCACACTACCAATTAAAATTGATTTAATAGTATAGGGTTGCCAGCTCTGGGTTGGGAAACGTGTGGTCTTCAGACAATGAAGACCAGAGATGCTGAGCCCCAGTTCTGCATTCCTATTCTCATTGTGAGAACAAGCGATCACAGCGCAGGCCTGGTTTTAGGGGCAGGAATCACAAGCTGAGCAGGTGTGCACTGGGCGGAGATGTTTTCACATGTCACTACCAATTAAAATTGATTTAATAGGGTTGCCAGCTCTGGGTTGGGAAATTCTTGGAGATTTGGAGGGGAGGTGGAGCCTGGGGAGGGCAGGTTTGGGGAGGGGAGGGACCTCAGCGGGGTATAATGCCATTGAGTCCATCTTCCAAAGCATCCATTTTCTCCAAGGGAACTGATCTCTCGCAGGGCTTTTTTTGTCGAAAAAGCCCAGCAGGAACTCATTAGCATAATAGGCCACACCCAACAGCAGGAACTCATTAGCATATTAGGCCACAGCCCTGACAGCACAGCTCATTAGCATATTAGGTCACACCCCCATGTTACCAGAAGTGTAGTTATCTAGCCACACCCACCTTTTGCTTCTTATTCTGTTGACCTTGTTTGTGGTCAAAACCCAGGGCCTTTTTTTGTAGCAGGAACTCCTTTGCATGTTAGGCCACACACCCCTAATGTAACCAATCCTAATGAGTTTCTGCTGTTGGGTGTGGCCTATTATGCTAATGTGTTCCTAAAAATGGGCATGGCCAACTTGGGAGCCAGCCAGAACTCCGTTCCTGCCCCAAAATAGCCCTGGATCTCTGTAACCTGGAGACCATTTGGATTTCCGGGAGATGGGCAAGCCTATTTAATAGTCATTCTGTCATGCACCAATCATATCTGCATGCCTCTCAGGTCCACAGAGGCTATATTCCAATTGTGACCATGTGGTACCTATGGAGAATCGCCCCCTGCACCATTTTTGTGAACTGAAATGGCCCCAGGGAGCCGCTGCTGGTTCTATTTTCAAACTTACATGCAACATTTTTCAGCAGCGAGAATATGTTTCCTACATGCCTGGTAGAGTTGCCAAACTCTACGTGGGGGTTAGAGTTCTCCCAGACTTACAGCTGACTACAGAGATCAGGTCCCCTGAAGAAAATGGTGGCTTTGGAGGGTGGACTGTATGGTATCACATCTCTGCTGAGCAACCTCCCCTCTCAAAACTCCACCCCCCAATCCTCCAGGAATTTCCCAACCTGAAGTTGGCAACCCTACGTAGACACAGAACTCCCATTGCGTATGTGATACAAGGTGCTTGTGGCATTTGTGAAGGCTTTGTCTTGTGTGAATTCCAGGGAAACCCTGGAAATTGTAGTTCTATGAGAGGGACTTCTGAATTCCCTCACCAAACTACAATTCCCAAAATTCTTTGAGAGAAGCAGGGATAGTTAAACTGGAATAAAAGCAACATATGTTTGCTACAGCTGCAGATACAACCATGACCTTGACCTTTTTAGGCTGTGAACCAGCGCTCCTCAGAAAATGAAATACCGTGCAGATTTCCCATAATCCCTTTGCTTAGTGTTTGAGCCAATGGTCTGTTTTGGCGAATGGGGGCTCCATCCTGCCCTCAAGATACGTTCTGAATGACCCAGTTTTCCCTCTTGCCTCTTCCCGTACCTTTTTCACAGACGCGAGAGGAGTGGCAATATGTCTTCCTTATCGCCTCGATGGTGCATTACGGTGGCGTCGTCTTCTATGGGATCTTTGCCTCTGGTGAGAAGCAGCCGTGGGCCGAGCCTGAAGAACTGCACGAGGAGAAATGCGGCTTTATCAACGAGGACGAACTGGCCGATGAGGAGGACGAAGCGGCCCGCATGGCGACGGGAGCAGGCGTCGGGGGAGGCGGTGGCTACGGCGCCACCAAGAGCACCAGTTTTGCCAACGGGGGCTGGACAGCTGATTGGGACAAAAAGGAAGAATATGTACAAGAGCCCGGCAAAGATCCATACCTGTATGGAAAGGCAGGAGAACGGGACTTATCATAGAGTTGTCCTCATTCCTCCTCCCTTGCGGGATGTGGGGGCCTTGGATCAATCCACTGGAGCGAGGGGGAAAGGCCTACATTCAGATTGCTTCTCCCCACCTTCTTCACGTAACCTTTCCTCCCCTCCCACCTCAGTTCTGGTGCATTGGTACAACTGTTTGGACCCACAGAAAATTGCCCTCCCCACCCCAGCCTCCTACTGAGTTGATATGTCCGAGCCCCCCATACTCCAAGCCCTCCTCTTTCCTTTCCCACACGCTTCAGTGCGTTGCCATGACAGCAAGCAGGCCTCACTCACCATCTGCTCTTATCCTTCCAGCTGTAGTGCACTGGTATGGCCCCTGGAACCAAGGGGCGGACTTAAAGGACTTCCCTGGCCCAGAGGAATCGCTCCCTCCATGCCACTACAGTGCTGTAGCGTGACTTGTTGACTACAGATTGTTAGGGGATGCAGCTCAACAGTAGAGCCCATGCGTTGTATGCACAGAAGTCCCAGATTCAATCCCTGGCATCTCAGGTTCAAGGATCTCAAGCAGCAGAACTGGGAAAAACCCAAGCCAGAGGCCTTGGAGAGCTGGTCCCAAATTAATTCAGGTAGACCAACTTAGATCTGATGGACTGATGGATCTGACTCAGTGTAAGGCAGGGGGTGGTGCTAAATTCACCTGTTTTGTCCCTTATGGGATCCCATTATGTCATTATGATTTTGATATTCCAACCTTCATTACAGGAGAATGCGTTACCTGTGATCCTCCCGACACGCACGGTCTCCTTTTTGTGTGAACAGGCCAATGCATGCATTTTCCAGCTTTGATATGTGTGAATGCATACCTTCAAAGCTCTGGATTTCCAGCTGTGTGTACCAAAGCTGGGAAATATGCTCATTGCCACAAAATGTGTGCATCGGGAGGACTGCAGGTAGCACACTTTCCCAGCACATGAGGTTGGCGCGCCAAAATTATAACAGCTAAACGAACCTTTCAACAGCTCCATCCCGCATCTCATAACTTTTGCACCTTAGATACCCCTTTTGGCTCAAAGCCAAAGACCGACGAGATGTTACGAGTGACGTGAGTCGGGACACGGGTGTCTGACCTGGCTCGGTGTTACATGCAACAACTTGTAGGAAGTAGATTTACTCACCTAAAGAGCACCGTGTTGCTTTCTGGAGCCCTGTGAGAGGGGAGGAGGATCTTTCCGTTTCCCTACCCCCTTTCTCTGGCTCCACATTCCACCCTAGGAACAACAGAACCCTTTTTAGGTGAGTAAATCCGCTTTATACAAGTCTTTACATGTGATAGCGAGTCAGGTACCCTTGTCCTGACTTGTGCCCCTCATAACCTCTAGTTTGGCCCACAGAAATAAGTAACCCTTTCCTCCTGGGAATGTAACTGGGAGGTGTGACAAGTGAGGGGCAGGGAGATCTTAATACCCCCGGCATCTAAGCACCAAAATCAGCCTGCGCTGCAGGGGGGGGAGGGTGTCTCTCCTCAGTTGTAAGGCTCGCTTGCACGCTGCGAAATACCACAGGCTTCCTGTTTCCAAGCTCGGCGTCAGAACTCAAGCTGCTCCTTAAAAGTACAGCCGCTCCCTGACAGTTTCTAAATACTCTGTCTGTGTTTTTCACTCTGAAGGACAGTTCTGAGGCACAAACGCTTTGTGGGTAGATATTTTCACCTGACAAGCCACAATCTACGTGGGAGTGTCCCGTGCCTCCAAAATACACGCCACTGGCGCTTTTGGAAATCACTCCCTCCAACCCCGAAAACAAGAAAGAAACCTGTTGGTGTGTTATCACACTCATTGGTTTTTCATATACAGTGCTTCAAAATTATTTCAAACACTTTAAATTGAAACCAAAGTAGTAAGAATTCAAACTTTTCCTACATGTGGCATCAGGAGGTGGCTTTTGGCTATCCAAACACAATATAGGCCTATGGTCCATGGAAACTTTTGTCTGTGAGGCCTGAAAGCAAAGCCTTTCATATTTAAAATGTGTTAAGTTTTCACACTGTCCTTATAATGGTGTCTGTTAAAGCACTTTAAACTGCTGTTTTGAATGTCCCTAAAACATTTTGAACCATGGTCACATCTACACTGCAGATTTAAAGCTTGTAGAAACCACTTTTAGCTGTTCTAGCAGCTTTTCAAGAATCCTGGGAATTATAGGGTTTTTCTTGGGGGGGTGGGTGCTTAAAAAGAATCCCTAATTCCTGATTAAATCAGTTTCAAGATATCTTTGTTTTAAGAATCATATCAGCTAAACATGTTTTAAGTCCTGACCTGGACTGCCCAGGCTAGCCCAATGTGATGAAATCTGGGCTGCTAAGCAGGTTCAGCCCTGGTTAGTATTTGATAGGGGAGACCTCCAGAGAATACCAGTGTCGTGATGCTGAGGCAGGCAATAGCAAACCGTCTCCAAACATCGCTTGCCTTGAAAACCCAATCGGTTTTAACAAGCTGTGATTTGGCGGCAAAAAAAAAAGTTTTAACGAATTAGTTGTTGTTTTTTAAATCCACAAGATATTTAAAGTGCTTTAATGGCTCTAGTGTGGACACAGCTTTGATTTTTAAATCTTAACATGAGTCAGTGTTAGGGTGCCAAATTCCTAGAATAAAATCAGCCCTGGCATACTCCAGCCTATTGAATGGAAGCCTGAGATGCCAAAATCTCAGTTTCTCATAACATGGATTGAAAACATTTTAATCTGCTATTTGCTGCAGATCAAAACTACTCTTAAAGAAAGAGCTATAAGAGGTCTGCTCAGAAACTGGCAGCCCAGCACGCATTACCCAGTGGACATAAGAATGTTGTTCTAGGAACTGAGGGGCTTTGTGTTTTTTTAGGCAAGGATGCTCTGGGAGTCCTTGCGTAAATTGCTTTCAGGAATTCAGTTCCCTCAGTTGTAAAAAAAAAGAAGAAAAGAAAATGGAATGATAGTGGCCTACCTCATAGGGTTGTTGTGAGGATGAATGCAATAGGATTGTAAAGCACTCTGCACAGTTAAAGCGAATGATTAATCATGGTAACGGCAATGCCTGGGTCTATGGAACTGTTTCTGATTACACTGCTCCACAATATGCACACATGTACACACACTGACATACAGCTTTTATATCAGAAATCAGCTTGCCTGATATAAACTGGGTATGAGTGGTTTGGATTGTTCCAGAGCACCCCTTTATCCCCACAGCCAGAGTCTGCGGTCTCGCCCTCAAAACTCATGGAACCTTCCCTCCGACAATAGCGATCGAATGGTGGGGCAAGCCCCCAACTATGGAGGGACTTTCCCGTTAGCCCTACCCTCTCAGTGGTTCCCTCCCAATAGTTCCCTCCGTGGGTTGGTTGGTCTGTCTGGCGTTTGCTCTGTTCATGTAACCTCCCTCCTTGGATTACCCCAACAGTTGGAATAAAGACCCTGTTCTTGTGTAAATATATAAATATAAATATTATATATGAAACCAAACATGGTTTGTCAGCCTTGGGAAGGGGCATGGAGCTGGGGGCTAAGCAATCATCTGCCTTTGGCCAATTATGCGCGGGTGTTTTCCCTCGCTTCCACCGTGCATGTCTGTCGAGTTTTCTTTGCCATGCTGCATTGATTTCCCTCCCCTCAGTGCTCAGTTTGCTTTCTGGTTACTGTTTTCCCAGGTTTTCTGAGAGTGATTTTGTGCCGATTTCCCCCTTGTTTCACTTCCAAGCTGGAGGTAATTCAGAAGCGTACAGATTCCCTCGGATCCCCCCCCCTGCCCTTTTGCCGCCCCTCAAAGGTCACTCCCTTGCCCACATCAAGGTCGTTCGGCCCACTCTGCACCTTCTGCCACCCTCCCCCCTTCATCGATGTACAAGCTCCATTTCCCCCTTGTCTTGGATCGCTGAATAAAAAAATTAAAATAGGGGGGGGGGAGTGTAAAAGGAGCTGTGCGAGGTTTTCGTTCCCTGCTGGTATTGACTTGAAAGGGGGATCGGAGAGGAGGCAAATGGCAGCGTCCCCAGTGCAAAAAGAAAAAAGGATTTCAGTGCTGCAAGCAAACAAATTTGAGGGGGGGGGGAATTGTCAGTGCAGATTGAAATTGACATGAGAGAGAGACACTGGGATGGGAAGCCAAAGGCTTGGAAAGCATTTTCTCCTTTAATGCTTTAGTGAACAAAGGAACCATTTTGGCTTTCTCTGGAAGCCTAACATTAAAATGGCAGCTGAGCTACATGGACCTTCTGCAAACCACTGAACTTAAGAATCGCTTGGGATTGATCCATTTGGAAGAAGAGGGCAATCTGCACAGGACAGACTCTAAAAAGCTGCCAACATCACAACCAGTGTGCAAGATCAAATTAGAGAATCACAAAGAGAAAACCATGCAAATTTGCAAGGAAGGGCAGGGAATTAGTGTTAATATGTAGCTGTGCTAGACACTGGTGAAAATACCTGCCCCCATTTTTTTTCAATTTAGTGCCACAAGACTAAAGAAGCTCTTTAGAGCTTCTACTAGAGGACTCCTCCCCCATACAAACTGTAAAGTAAAAGGTAAAGGTTCCCTTGCTCGATAGCCAGTCGAATCCGACTCTAGGGTTGCGGTGCTCATCTCCGTTTCAAAGCCGAAGAGCCAGCGCTGTCCGAAGACATTTCCGTGGTCATGTGGCCGGCATGACTAAACACCAAGGCGCACGGAACGCTGTTACCTTCCCACCAAAGTGGTACCTATTTATCTACTTGCAATTTCTTGCTTTTAAACTGCTAGGTTGGCAGGGGCTGGAACTAGAAATGGGAGCTCACTCCATCATGCGGCACCCAGGTCTCGAACTGTTGAACTACTGACCTACCACAGCCTGCAGTTCAGCTTCTTATTCCCTTGAGCCACCGCAGCTCCCAATACAAACTGTACCCCTGTGAAAAGGCTGGTGGAGTTGCAGTGGATGTTGCACAGGCACAGGCACGCACACGGCTAACAATTACAGCTTGCAATGCCAGTGTCAGTGTGTTCTACCGTGCATTGTACACT